TCTAGGGGTGTTGCAGTGGAGGGGGGCTGGCAGGGCTGGAGGTATCTATGGGGCTGGGCATTTCTTGCAGAGTTGCAGGGCTGGGTGGCCTGAATGGTCCAGGGGGTGGGGGCTGCAGCCGGGGAGGTCTGTAGGACTGGAGAGGGTTGTGGAGGCTGCAGGAGTTTGTACAGAGTTGGGGGCTCGCACCTGGCTGGTCTGGGGAAGTCTGTGAGGGGCTGGGACTTCGGGTGTCTGTGTGGGCAGGGGTGCTGAAGGTGCCCATGGGAGTTGCCTGCAGACTTGGGGGATTGGGTGGCCATCATAGAAGGCAGTCCGGATGTCCTCTGTTGAAGAGAAAAATAGAGCATATAAAGGTGTAGGGTTTTGTATCAATAGAGGACAGAGTAGCAGGAAACTGGAATGTCCTCTGTGATGGCCACCCTAGGCCTAAAGGGTCTGGGGGGGGTCCATGGGGAGGAGGCTGAAGGTGTCAGGGGGGCCTGGAGGGGGTACATAAGTTCAGGGGCTGGGGCTGAAGGGTCTAAGGAGGCTTGGAGGGGCTATGTGGGGCTGGGGGTCTGGTAAGGGGTGTTGGGTTGGGGGCCTGGCTCCCCCAGTTGGTGTGGCCAGACCCCCATGGAGGGCTGGAAGGTGCCAGGCCAGGGCCCACAGGCGCGTGGTTCGGTAGAACACAGGGCTGCAACGTCCAGGGGCTTCAGCTGGGCAACAGGAAGAGCTGGAGTTGAGCGTGGGGGGCAGCAGGCTCTGGCATCCGGCTGACGGGGTTCTGGGTGGCAGGGGCTTGGGCATTGGTTGGGGCTGGGCAGGAGCAGGGGGTCAGATGAGGGCAGGGGGAAGGAAGATGCGAGGGCTGCTTGGTGGTGGAGGTTGGTCCAGTGGGGGAGTTATCTGGGGCATAGTGGATCTGTGGTCATGCACCTTGTTGTGGGTGGACTAGGCTGGATGGGGGAATGGGTCATTGCTTCTGTGGGGTGGAATGGATGGGGAAGGGTGAGTGAACCTGGGGTATGGGTTGGATTGGTGGGAGGGTTGGGGTTGTCTTGAGGCTGGATTGGATTGGGGAAGGAGGGGTTTGGGGTTGCCTTGGGGCACTTTGTTGGATCGGGGGGTTGGGGTGGGTTGGATGAGGGGGGTCGGGATGGCTGCAAGCTGTGGGTTGGATTGAGTCATGGAGGGCGAGCCAGGGCAGATATGGTCAGCTGGATTGAGACATGGGGGAAAGGTGTAGAGATGGATTTACATGCTACGTGTCTTGTGGCCTGAGGGTCAGAGTGGGTGGTGACACGTGTGTCAGGGCAAGTATTGGATACGGGTGGGTTTGGGGGCAGGTCAGAGCATGGAGTATTGGGGCCGGGATCCTGGGTGAGTCGGATCATGGGTTGGGGTAGATACTGGGGGTGTGTTGGATTGTGGAGGTTTGGGTGGACACGGCTGCATTGCATTGGGTGCTAGACTTGGGGGTGGATCAGCTCAGGGCATGCAGGGCAGCCTGCAGGGCAGCCTGGATGGCATATGTGAGCAATCCAATGATGGGCACCAGGGGAGGGGGAGAAGGCACAGGGACCATCTTGGGGGCACATCTCTGACACTGTCCTTTCCCTGCCCCAGGCACTGATGCTCGAGAACCTCCAGAAGCATTCAACACCACACACCACCTTCCAGCCCAACTCGCAGGTGAGAGGCCCCCTCACCCCCAGCCTCTCGAACCGCCAGGGACCCCAGCCGAGGGGGGGAAACTCAGGTGTCCGGCCTTGCTCACGCGTCCTGTCCCATCCCATCCCCCTGCAGATTGGTGAGGAGATGAGCCAGAACAGTTTCATCAAGCAATACCTGGAGAAGCAGCAGGAGCTGCTACAGCAGCGGCTGGAGCGAGAGGCAAGGGAGGCAGCTGAGCTGGAGGGTGAGTGTGGGGCTGGGGCAGAGCCTGGCTGTGGGTTGGAGGAATGGGTACTTCCAATTGGCTGGGGCTCAGATGGCTTCTTCGGGGCCTGACTGCAGGAGAAATAGGTTCTTATGACTGACTCAAAAGAGCCCCTCCCCCATTGTTTCCATTCCTCCCTTCCCAAACAAACAGATTTTCTTTTGGCTGGAATCTCTCCAAGCCCTAACCAGTGGGAATATTCGTTTCTTTATAGTCAGTGCCAGAGGGCAGGAGGGAAAGCAGGGCCCTGTGATTGATTGGGCATCAAACCTATTCATTGGGTATCTGGTTTTATCATTGGACCCTTCCCAGCCTTGTTTTTCCAGTCACTGATGTGGATGTTGCCACCTAGACTAGGAGGAAGGGGCTGGCATGGCTTTAGGTTGAGTAGCAGTCCGGTCATGGGTCCTGGAAGGACGTTGAGAGGGGAGGGATCCAGAAAGAGGAAGGGTTGGTTTGTCTAGGGAAGGATGAACAGTCTGAAAACCATGCTGTGGGATTTGCTCTGAGGAGCTTTGCATGACTTGGAACTCAGCAGCAGAGTCTGGAGCCTTGGGACACATGGAAACCTGTCTGGCAGTTGAGGTCCTGGGTTGAGATACCTAGAACGTGTGGTGCTCTTTAGCTCTGAAGCAGGACCTGTGCTGTGGTTCTAGAGCTGGGGGGGCTCAACCTTTGGGCTCTGTGGGCCAGATTGGGCCTTAGGGCCTGGCACAGCCCCTCCGTGCTCCCCATGCACTAGGATTGGGTCTTAGGGGACTAGCACCGCCACCCTGCGTCCTGGATTGTGTTCCAGGGACTGGTACTGCTCCATCCTGCCCCCCAAATACCAGCATTGGGTCCTGGGGTCCAGGTACCACCCCATTTTTCCTTCCCCCGTGTACTGGTATTGAGTCCTGGGGAACTCAGCATTCTCCTGCCCCCCATCACCCAGTTGTGGCACCCAGCAGTGCTCCCTTCTGCCCCCCCATTCACTGGGATTGGGTCGCCAGGGAGCTGGTATCAGCCCCCTCCCACCCTGATTTTGAGTCTCCGGGGCCCAGTGCTGTCCCTTTTTGGTTTTTGCCTGCCAGCTCTGGGGCCCTAGGACCTGGTGCTGCCCTTGTCCAGCTCTGCACACCACCACTACCCCAATGCCAAATTTCTAGGCCCTGCAAGCCAGATGACATGGCACTGTGGGCTGGAAGTTGAGCACCCCTGTTCTAGACCATCATGTGTTCTTTGCTGATCTTGAATGGCAGGGTTCAACCTGTCCAGCTCCCTGGGCCAGATTAGTGGTTCAAGGAGCCACAACATGCAACCTGCTGGGTTCCCTGTGGGTCCAGAAATTGTGTGGTGGTGCGGGCATTACTTAACCCCAGCCTGGCTTCCCTGCTGACATGTGAGCACTGCTGAGCTAGAACATGGGCAGCTTCATGCAGGGGTCAGTTTAGATCCAGACTTCTATCTCTGTCAGCTGGTTTTGCAGCGGCCTTCCCCACTCCCATAATCCTTTGCACTAACATCAGCAAAGCAGACATTTCCTTTGGCTAGATGATTTAGGGGCCATGTGGGGGCCACTAGCGCAGAAAAAGGGGCTGTCTGTCCTAGAATGTAGGTTCTGTACCATGTAGCCATGGAGAGGAGTTGTTCCGCAGTAAGCTATGTCCTTCTAGAGGCTGCGCATTGCACCTTCTCTCTCGGTTCAGAATGAAATATGGGGTCTGCAGAGGTGCAGATACTCCAAATTGAAGCGGGGAGGAACAGGGAAGTTGGATCCTGATTCTTGTACCTTTTTATGCTCTGGGTGCTGGGTCTAGAACCCAGGGCTCCCCATTGCAGAGTCTAGGACCCTGGGTGAGCCCTGTTCTGGGGGGTCTAGAACTCAGAGGATGTCTCCTGTGTGCCCTACAGCCCAAGGGGGCCGTTGTGGCGGGTATCTAGAACCCAGGGGGTATTGTAGGGTGAGGTCTGCAGGCCAGGGTGTGCTTGTTGCACAGGGTCTAGAATCCAGAGGGACTGTTGGGAGACCTAGAACCTAGAGGCACTTGTTCTGGGGTGTCTAGGTCTTGGGGGTGCCTGCTTTGGGGAGGCTAGAAACCAAGGGTGCCTGTTGCTGGAGAGTCTAGAACTCGGGGTGTCTGTTGCTGGGGGATGTCTCCTAGAACCCAAGGTGCCTGTTGCTGAGGGAAGGGGGGGTCCTGGGATGGGGTCTAGAAGGCAGGGGGTGCCTGGGGGGGGGTTAGAGGATGCCCATTTGGGGGTTAGAACTTAGAGGGCCTGTTGTAGGGCCTAGAACCTTTGGGATGTTGCGTGGCTTAGAACCCGGGTAGTCCCATCTTTACAGATCCCTTGTGTTTCGCTCCTGCAGGTAAAGCCTGTTCCATTTCCCACGAGAGGGAAGACTCTGACGAGGACGGCGCCAGGCGCCAGGAGCGTCGCTCCACCCGGGTGAAGCAGGTGAGTGCTCCATCCCAGGGCGTTTGAGTGGGGGGCATGATGCCTGTGGGAGCAAGGCAGAGGGTTAACATGGGAGATTGGAGCTCCAGCCAGGGCCTGCCCTCTTGCCTGCGTCCTCCCATCTCTCTCTCTCTCTCTCTTGCTTGCTCGCAGGCCCGCGCTGCTAAGCTCCCGGAGAGTGCCCAGGCCGGGGGCCGGGATGAGCGAGAGGTGCCCCCCAGGGGTCGGCGGGGTGCAGCCCGACCATCTGTCAAGGCAGCCACTGAGGAAGATGAGGAGGAGGAGGAGGAGGAAGAAGAGGAGGAAGAGGAGGAGGATGTCAAGGAACAGCCCAGGGCCCTGGCCCCTGTGCAACAAAGTGGGGCGGCTAGTCTGGGAGTGCCCCCAGAGACCGGAGACCTGCCAGCCCCAGCCCTATCTGCATCGCCTCAGCTGCCGGACCGGGCTGCCTCTCCTATCCCTGTCCCCCTAGAACCAGCTATTTTCAGCTCCTCAGGGCTTCAGGAAACGGGGCAGCCTGTTGCCTCAGAACCAGAGGGGGCCCCATTGGCAGGGCTGCCTGACACAGGTGTAACCAGCCCTAGTCCCCCTGAGCTCCCCGAGAGCAGAGCAGTGCCAGCCCCCCAGGAGCCAGGGGCACCCCCATCCCCAGGCCCCCAAGAGATGGAGGTGGCTGGTTCCCCGATGACCCAGACCCAGGCTTCCCCTGTGGGGCCAGTCGTGGCCCCCAGCCCAGGCTGTGAGGTGGTGAAGGAAGCCAGGCTCCAGGATGGGAAGAAGGTCCCTGAGGAAAAGAGCCTAGAGGGCCCCCCTGAAAACCTAGCAGAAGAGGGGTCATCCATCCCTGCCCCCGTATCCACACCCATCCTCTTGCTGGAGGCAAGAGGGTCCCCGTCACCCCCCCGGCTCACAGAAGGAGCATCACAGCTGGCCACCCCTGGGGAAGAAGAGCCCCCTCCCCCACTCTTGACCAAGGAGCCCCCTGCCACTCAGGAACGGCTGTTGGGGAACCCCGGCATCAGGGATGGCTCGCCCTCCCCGCCCCCCCGGCGCCGACGGAGAACCCGCTCAGAGTCCTCATCCTCCTCAGACTCCGCCTCCTCGCGGGCCAGCTCAGCATCTCGCTCCCGGTCCCGATCTCACTCCAGCAGCAGCAGGAAGGTGAGCGCCAGAGCCTGCCTTTCTCCACACACGTGTCCTGGGGCACCAGGCTTGTCTTGTGTCTTAACTGTCTTCTAGACCGTGGCCCCTTTCCAGAGCTGCTTCTGTGCCATGCTCCAGACCGTGGCCCCTTTCCAGAGCTGCCACTTGTAGCCTGTGGCTGCCCTCCCTGATCCCTTTTCACCCTGTTGGGATGCTGCAGACCCCTTCCAAGGTTCTAGGTCAGGGGTGGACAAAATGCAGCCCATGGGCCGAATACAGCCTTCCATTCTATCTGGCCCCTAAAAAAAATAAGAAAATTAATATACATCTGCCCCTGGCTGCCTTGCATGTGGCCCTTGATGGCTTGCCAAAACTCAGTAAGCAGCCCTCCGCCTAAAACAATTGCTTACCCCTGTTCTTGGTGCTTCTAGATCCCACCAGTTCAAGTTTGCACCTAGAGTCTCTGCTTCCCTGCCGTTGGTTCTTGTTTGCGGCATCAACTCATTCTGAATCCTGATCCCATCCCCATTGGTGAGGGTCAGGATTGTAGGGTTCTGGCTGATCTTGTTGGTTGGTTTAGATCCCACGGTTCTTCTAGAGTCCTCAGGAGTCTTACCTCTTGCGAGAAGGTCTGGATTACAGCCCATCCCTGAGATCCACCCTCTCTTCTCTCTTGCTCTGTCTACATGTCTGGAAGCATCTGGTTCAGCTTGGATCACGGTGTCCTAGACTTCATTGCCCTTTTTATCCTGTCACCTGGTCTGACAACATTCTCTTCCCCCCCACCCCCGGTTGTCTGGAGTTGTTGACTCATTTCTGAGCTCGTTAGATGTTCTGGATCTTCCTAACAAGGCTCTAGGTTGTCAACAGAGCCCTCCCCCATTGAAGTCTGAAGGCTGTAGGTCAGCGGTTCCTAAACTGGGTCACAACCCCAAATACAGTTGCAACATCAGCAGACAGAATCTGGGGGGTGTGGGTTGGGTGTGAGGGGCCACACTGAGGAAATGGGGGCTATAAATGGGGTCATGCTGAAGAAAAGTTTGGGAAGCACTGTTCTAGATAATCAACATTTTTCTCTCCTTCCCCATGCCCCTCTCAGCCCACCATCATGGCCTGGGGCCTCTAGAGTGTCAAGAGATGCCCCCATCACAGCTTACTGGTTTTAGTGTCAACAGTCCCCTGCCCGCCAATCACAACCTGGTGGTTTTAGTACCAACAGATTACCCCCATCATAGTCTGGAGGCTCTAGATTTTCAGTAGATTCCCTCATGGCCTGATGACTTTCATGTCAACAGATTCCCACCCATTATTATGGCCTGCAGGGTCTAGATTGCCAACAGATCCCACCATGGCCCTGCTGCCTGTTCCATCCTGTGACAGATCCAAGCCATGCCTCAAAACTCCTGGGGGTTGAGAGGTGGGCTCCTGGCTCAATATCACCAGCTATATAGCTTCATCCCACTCGAGATCTCGCCAGATATCCTGCTAGGTCCTTGAGGGGTTGTCTTCAGTGCCTGGCCCCAGCACTGGCATCCACCTTGTTCCCAGTCTTAGCTCTTCTCTGCTGCTCTGAGAGCATAGTCTAGGCGGATGCTGTAGACCCCTGGGATCAGGCACCTCAGCAACTGTCTGTCTGTCCTCACAGTCCCAGAGCCCCATCGCCTCCGGTGTCAGCACCAGCTCCCCACACACCAAAGAACCCTCCCTGCTGGGACACAGCCAGAAGTTGGGGAGTCCTGGGCCGGAGGGGGGCCCAGCTCCCCACGGACCACCCAGCCAGGCCCAGCACCACAGCCCGGACTCAGAGAGGGTAGGAGGCTAGTTTGGGGGGTGGAGGGGGACAGGGGCCTGGCCCTTCCGGGGGGCATGGGCTCAGGCAGGGCCCAGACCCCTCTAACACAGACCCTCCCTCTGCCTCTCCCTGCAGGGCAGCCCGGGGACACCCAGCTCCTCTTGGCCGGGGGGCTCCACTGGGGACGGCCCCGGGGGGGGGTCCGAGCACCCGTCAGAGCAGAGGCAGCACGAGAAGTAAGTCCCTGGAGGCAAGAGCTGGGCTGTGCTCTAGCCCAGACACCTGCGTCCCCATGTCTTGGGGGG